GAGCTCTCACAAAAAAAAAAAAAACACACCTGTATTTGTTCTGCACAGCGCAAGCTGAATTGTTAACATGCTTGCGCTGTGTTTGCTTGTGGCTTGTCTCTGGTGTCTCCTTAAGTGGGGTACCAGAGGACAAAAGGGTCAGCAAAGCATATTGTGCATGCGTTTGGAGCCTGCTTGTGGGATTGCATATGTGTAGAGTGAGCTGATCGTGGTGTGGTATTGTATAAATAGGTTGGTGTTGTGGAAAAGAGATATGGACATATTTTTAGCTAGTAAAATGTCTATTTACCCCATTTAGTTATACTCAATATTATTCAATAAATTACTAAACTGACCACTAGATGTCATTCAGGAGTACCCCACCCATCGACCAAACACTCTAATTTTCAAGATGGCGCTGGAATCCGGGGGAGAACTCCATGACGACAGTAATGACATAAGAAGGCACACCCAGTAGGACATGCTTTGAATAAAACACTTAACACTTAACCAATTACTGATGTATTATTCTATGTTATCTCTGACAATGTTTATGATGTAATTGTGCTTTATAAGGGACCTGCCGTCCCCTCTGAATAAACATTCCTCAAGTTATTCAACTACCTGAAACTTGTGTCTGGTGTGAATTACTTCAGGGAGCGTGCACGCATTGTTTCATTAATTTGGTCAGGGGCAGATACACAAAGAATAATCAATCGATTTGAGTTGATTTCCACTTCAGTTGGTTTCAGTCATGTTGTGTTTCATGTAATATGTGTGGCTAGGGACTGTATGAGGGAAATTAGAAAAAAGCTAATTAAGTCAATGTGGTTGTTTAATAGCTGGATTTATTTTTTAAATTTTTATTTGTCTGCCTTAAAAAATTAACCAACTTTGTCTTTTGTGAATATATGGGTTAAAACAGCAGAATTATGACAGCTGAACTCCTTTTGATTACTGATCAGTTTAGCGTAAATACTCCATTATAACAAAACACAACACACACAGGGTTATTTACTAAAGTTAGCATTGCTGGGAATTCAAAGTTAAAGGACCACTATAGTGCCAGGAAAACACACTCATTTTCCTGGCTCTATAGGGTTCTTGGGTTCCCCTCACCCTCAGAGCCCCCCTCCCGCCGGGCTATAGGGGGAGGAAGGGGTTAATCCCTTACCTTTCTCCAGCGCCGGGCTCCCTCGGTGCTGGGGACTTTCCTCCTCCTTTCTCACCATCGGCTGAATTTGCATGCGCTGCAAGTGCCGCACGCGTAGCCAGTCCACAGGAATGCTCAATGCTTTCCATGGATGCTGGCGTCTTCTCACTGTGAAAATCACAGTGAGAAGCGCGGAAGCGCCTCTGGCGGCTGTCAATGAGACAGCCAGTAGAGGCTGGATTAACCCATAGGTAAACATAGCAGTTTCTCTCAGTGTTTCTCTGAAACTGCTATGTTTACAGCAGGCAGGGTTAATCCTAGATGGACCTGGCACCCAGACCACTTCATTGAGCTGAAGTGGTCTGGGTGCCTATAGTCAGGGGCGGGCTGGGCCAGGGGCAGGGAGGCAATTACCCCCAGGCCCAAATCATTTTAAAACCAGGCCGCTGCAGGGCCGATCCTAATGCTGCAGCCGCCTGTGCGCTCTGTAGCGTGGCCGAGCTCCTTCCCAGTCCGCAGTGCCCGGCCGGAGTGATAGGAAGGTGCACACTCAGTGTGCACTTCCTGTCAGTCTGGCCGGTTACAGGAAACAGAAACTCCTGTTCCGCGCTGAGTTTCTGTTTCCTGTAACCGGCCGGCCTTACAGGAAGTGCATACTGAGTGTGCACCTTCCTATCACTACGGCCGGGCACCGCGGACCGGAGAGGAGCTCGGCCACGCTACAGGGAAGGGCATTGGGGGGATTAAGAAGAACAGGGGGGGAGTGAGGAGAACACATGGAGGGAGGGAGAACACAGGGAGGGTGGGGTGAAAAGAACACCGGAGGTTTGGGGGATGAGAAGAGCACAGGGAGGGTGGGTGTGAGAAGAGACTGCTAGGGGAGGGGGGGAGAGGAGAGACCACTAAGGGGCAGGGGAGAGCTCTAAGGGACAGAAGGGAGAGCTCTATAGGACAGGGGGCAGGACAGGGAGCTCTTTCACACTACGCGCACACACACACAATGCATCCCTATACATACACAGAAACACACAATGCATCCCTACACACACACAGAAACACAACATGCTTCCCTTACACACAGAGAGACACACAATGCATCCATTACACACAAAGACAATGCATCCTTTGCACACATACAGAGAAACACACAATGCAAACCCTTATACACACATGCAAATACACACACTGCTTCTCTTACATATACACAGAAACACAATGCATTTCTTACATACACTCAATGCACACACTTACAGACACACACCTTGCATCCCTTATACATACAAACACAGATTCACACAATGCATCCTTTACACACAACCAAACACACACAATACATCCCTTATACACAAACACTCACTGCTTCCACTACAAACAAATACACTGCATCACCTACACAAACTGGTATCCCTATACACTACATACCATAAGCACACACATTAGATCCTCTACAATAACACATACCCTACACACTCCACTCCCTGTGAGCGAACTCATGGGTGGAACATGTAGGTGGACTTATAGGTGGGCCTTATGGGCATACTCACTGTCTGGCCCTGGTGCCCAAACCTTGAGCTGTGTAAGGGGCCCCAAAAAATGGAGCTGCTTCCCATTCTACTAGAACTTTGAATTTTGTGACCACAGTTACAAACAGCCTCCAGAGATCCTGTTCTACACCAGACCAGTGGAGCCAAACTGCAGCCAATCATCATCCTCATCTGGTTGTAAGTAGGCAATCTAGTATATTATTAGTGACACTAATCTATAATTTACCTCACATTAAAGGGACACTATACAGCTTAACGAAGTGGTTCTGGTGTCTATAGCTGGTCCCTGCAGGCTTTTTAATGTAAACACACAGTGTGTGCAGCACTGGCATTAGTTCATATGGCAGATCATATATGCACTGGCTCTGACCCTGGGCAGGTGCACCAGTCTACTGGTGACCCACAGGAGGGGAGTGCACTGATTGCACTGCACTCTCCTCCTGCCAAGACCCGTCTTTACCGCAGTGCAAGTGCCCTCTGCCCCTAATTTACAGTGGCTCACACTCACAGCAAGCAGTGCCTGGAGCCCTTTGCAGAGACGGGAACAAAGAGGTTCTGCGGCAGCTGGCCGTCCTGCAAGCATTACATTAAACAGCTGTTCCCCATGCAGCCACAGGTGGCGCTGTGCTGGGAGAATGTGATTACTCTTCACTTCCTCCCAGCCTATAGAGCAGCGCATGGGAGAGAGAGAGGAGGAAGCATGATTTAATCTTACAACAAATCCACTAAGCAAATCTTTATAAATCTGGGGGGATCAGCTCTGTTTGCACAGTTTATTGGTGTTTACTCTGATGTCTGTATTAATATTTAGGGATGTCTCAGTAGTAACATCAGTGTGTGTCAGCAGGGCCAGCTGTTGGGGTGTGCACGCTGTGCGGTCACGAAGGGTGCCATGACAACAGAGGCGCCCGGCGGACAACACAGCTCACAAGTTGGGGACACCAGCCTATTCAGTTTAAACGACTCGCTGGTGGTCCACTGGTGTGCACCAGCAGTAGGTGCAGTCAGATTATATCCTTTCCCTCGTGGTTCCAGCACTCAGTTAGTGAGTCAGAGCACAGGCTCAGAGATTCTCAGCCTGCACTCTGACAACATTGAAAGTCAGAGCTGTGAAGGAGCAGTTATGGCAAAGAGCTACTGATTAGCATAACATCAATATCCGTTATAAAACCAGGAAAAGGTGGGCATGGATGGTGAACTGATTTGGTGGTGCAATGAGCCACTTGACTGGTTTTGCCCCCCAGGCCTAAGGCTGCCAGCCCTCCCCTGGTGTATAGTGGTCCTTAAATTTAACAAAAACAGCCCAGTTAGAACATTTCTCCAAGTCAATTCTGTTTTCAGTTCGGCTACGTTGAAACTGACCTTGAATCCCAGCCAACCTTACTTTACCTGTCATACAAATACCAGGCTACTCCCTACAAAGAGAATATAAAGAGAATGTCACAGGTAAAAGGAACCAATTTAGAGACATTCTCCCACTCCAGCTGCCCACTCAGCTCCCAGTCCAGCTGCCCACGCCAGCTCCCACTCCAGCTGCCCACTCAGCTCCCACTCCAGCTGCCCACGCCAGCTCCCACTTCAGCTGCTCACTCAGCTCCCACTCCAGCTCCCACTCAAGCTGCCCACTCACCTCCCACTCCAGCTGCCCATGCCAGCTCCCACTTCATCTGCCCACTCAAGCTGCCCATTCAGCTCCCAGTCCAGCTCCCACTCCAGCTGCCCACTCAGCTCCCACTCCAGCTGCCCACTCAGCTCCCCACCCAGCTGCCCACTCATCTCCCACTCCAGCTGCCCACTCAGCTCCCAGTCCAGCTGCCCACTCAGCTCCCACTCAAGCTGCCCATTCAGCTCCCAGTCCAGCTCCCACTCCAGCTGCCCACTCAGCTCCCCACTCCAGCTGCCCATTCAGCTCCCACTCATCTCCCACTCCAGCTGCCCACTCAAGCTGCCCATTCAGCTCCCAGTCCAGCTGCCCACTCAGCTGCCCACTCCAGCTGCCCATTCAGCTCCCACTCATCTCCCACTCCAGCTGCCCACTCAAGCTGCCCATTCAGCTCCCAGTCCAGCTGCCCACTCAGCTGCCCACTCCAGCTGCCCATTCAGCTCCCACTCATCTCCCACTCCAGCTGCCCACTCAGCTCCCAGTCCAGCTGCCCAGGCCTTTTATCTGAATGCTCCCTTTAGTGAATCACTGTGATAGTAACAAGCTGTCACTCAGGGCCCTCAGAAAACCATCTCAAACGAGCCTCTTCCACCTTTAACCACGCCCCCTTACCTTACGTCACGGGCCTTTCCACCAGTTAGATCGCAGACTCCCATTCCGTCCGCCCTCGTGGCCCTGCGCGCTGACGTCACGGTCTGAGTGCCCTTCAAGCTGCCCAGTAGCCACCTGCCCGCACTAATCATGGCGTCTGTCAGCAGGCAGCTCCTGGCCCGTTACATGTCCTCCAGCGCCGCCCCGGCCAAGAAGCTGGCCATCAAGCATGTGACGGTGATCGGCGGGGGGCTGATGGGCTCCGGGATCGCTCAGGTGAGAACCTGTGATACGGGGACTGTCACTGCCAGCCTCAGCCTGGGCTACACCCCCCTCTCCCCCATCATCCTCAGCCTGGGCTACACACACACACCCATCATCCTCAGCCTGGGCTATACACACCCACACATCATCCTCAGCCTGGGCTACACACTGCATCATGATCACCTCTGACCAGCCATTATGGACTTCGATCCCTGCGCCGAGTCCACTTTGTTGTCACTGGCAATGCATAGTAACAGTGTGCGCAATATGGATCCAGGGCTGCTTATAGACAGACTGACACCATGGCCAGTACTGTTTTTATATAGACAGACAGACGCCAGGGCTGCTTATAGACAGACAGACAGACACCGTGGCTGCTTATACTGTAAAAGACAATCAGGCCAACTGGGTCCTAAATGATGAAGCATTATAGGGTTTATTATAGTAATTAAAAACTGAATAGTAAAATTCTTGTTAATTTTTTCAAGATCGGCATTTATTTATTTATTTGTTTCAGCCTAAATGTTTTAGTTATGGGGTTCCAAATTGTAACAAATGGAAGTACAAGTAGCACATTTTTGTGCAGAATACCTGATTTGTAGACATTTTACATAGTTACAGCTGGGCTATTTTTGCTAAAACTTTGCATTTCATATTTTAACTTACTGAAGTTCAGAGTATAGTGGAATACCCTGCCTCTTTTATTTTACAAATATGCAAGAAAGGAGAATACGTTAAAAAAATGTTTTTGCTTAAATACTGTTGTTTGCTTAATACTGTTAGCAATTACATTTTGGTTAGCTTCCACATTCTGCTTCTGGCTAATGATTATGTTGGTAGTGCTTAAACTCATATAGGTTGTCAATGATCTACAGCAAAAGGGTGCCTGACTATGCATATGGATCATTCAGACATTGGCCACACTGTTAAAAGGGACACTATATATTCACCAAAACTACTGCTTAAACTTTAACCTTAAAGGACCACTATAGGTATCCAGACCACTTCAGCTCAATGAAGTGGTCTGGATGCCAGGTCCCTCTAGTTTTAACCTTGCAGCTGAAAACATAGCAGTTTCAGAGAAACACTGAGAGAAACTGCTATGTTTACCTATGGGTTAATCCAGCCTCTACTGGCTGTCTCATTGACAGCCGCTAGAGGCGCTTCCACGCTTCTCACTGTGATTTTCACAGTGAGAAGACGCCAGCATCCATGGAAAGCATTGAGCATTCCTGTGGACTGGCTGCGCGTGCGGGGGAGGGGGGGGTGTTATTTTCCTGGCACTATAGTGCTCCTTTAATTGTTCTACTGCTTGGTGTGTACTGTCTGTCACTGCAGGTTTTTCCACTGTAAGCGCTTCCAAGAAAAGGCAGTGTTTACATTACTAATTAGGAACACCTCTAGTGGCAGACACACTCAGATGGCCACTAAAGGTGCTTGTTGGATCAGTGCTGCACAATGTGCAACACTGACATTCAGCATCTCCATGCTCTGAACGTTCCCCATAGAGATGCATTGATTCATTACATCTCTGAGGAAATGTTGATTGGGGCAGAGCAGTGTTTTGCATAACCGTGCAATGCTTTACTATGGAAAAGCATTGGATTGGCTGAGATTTAGTTTGATTTTAGCCAAGGAGGCAGAGCTGTTGTGGAGCCAGCCTCGACGAGTCCTGTGCTGGAAAACACGTGAGTCTCTAGAATGTAAGCTCCCTGAGCAGGGCCCTCCACCTCTCTGTTCCTGTACGTCCAATTGTCTGGTTAAAATTACATGTCTGTTAGTCCACCCATTGTACAGCGCTACGGAATGTGATGGCGCTATATAAGTAATATAATAATAAAACACCCTTTTTAACTGGGAACAAGAGGGGCCAGGCGGAAATACATGCCCAGATTTTGCAGTACATGCTCGGTGAGCCTGAATTTAGTCTGAATTTCAGATAGGCCAAATACTGAAACATTGTACTTGTTGTTCCAGCCCATATGCTTAAAATCCTAGCCTGGATTTTTAAAAATCTGCAGATGATTACACCTATAGAAATAATACAAATTAAAGGCAAATAGCCAAAAAGGAAAAAAATATTCAAGTCTGCTGTGCTTTAAATTAGAAATTCACTTTGAAATCCTGACAGTTCTCATGTTAGTGAATAAACCTGACTCCTCAGTGTAGTGTTTGTCTCCAAGCTACTAGACTGGAAAAACAAGTAAAAATTTTCAATATTTCTGATACAGGCCAATTCCTTCCCTTGTCTGTTAATCAGTGAAGATTTGTCAGTTGCTATAATGCCCAATATTTAGCAAGTGTAGCATGTCTTAGCATTGCAATGTTTTTTGTTTTTTTTCATATCTGGTCACATTGTTGTAATGGATTATAGCAAATGCTATTCGTTGCCAAGGTTAACCATCACTGATGGCTGTTTTGGTTTAGACCACTTTCCACTAAGCTCTGGTAATAGCAGATTGTGATAGCTAGCAGGTTTGGCCTCCAATCAAGACCCACTGTGTTCTTGTAAACTTGAATAACAGCCTGCATCTAAAATTAGTTCCCTAACAAGTATTTTTTGCTGGCGTTGCTATGATTTTCCAAGTATCATCTACTTATCCAATGAAACAGTTTATTTGACTAAGACCTATTCTACAAAACACATGCCAGTGTTCAGTGTGTGAGCATGACAATTAACCCCAGTAAGTATGTTAATCTCAACAAGGATATAATGTTAGCATTTCTTGTTTCTCTTTATGTATGCATTGTTAATGCTTCTACTGTCGTATATTCTCATTGAAAAGAAAAGTTTGTTTTTTTTGTTTTGTTTTTTAATGTTTGTAAAAAATTAATTCTTCAAGATTGCTCTATAACATTGTAAATTGGACTAGAATAAGGATTGGCTTAAGTTGTGGAAGGAGTGCCATACAGTTAACCTCTTACCTACATTTGTTGACCGTGCTTTATGTGATACTTTGCCCTTGAGTTTCAGGAGCCAGGCATCAGAAGAGAGGGAAAAAAAAATTTTTTTTTTTTTTTTTTTTTTGGACAGTTGCATAATAATCATGTGAGAATGTTAGAAAAGTTATGGTTTGCTTGTTTTTTTTTTCCCTTTTATTTATTTTCCTTTTATTTTTTCAATGTCTTAGCTCATTCAAATAAAACCCATGACTTTGATCAATGTAGCTGGTCATAAGTCCAGGCCAGCAATACATATTCACATAATTTCCAATGTATATTTAGTTGCAACCCTTTAACCACATCATTTATTCATATTTAATGTGAATTACCTAATGTATCAGCACAAAACATTTTTCTGGTGCACTCTTTACAACTTGCTTTTATTAGAGCCAATAACGGCAGTGTCACAATGTAAATGCTTTGATGTACCACAACTACATGAAGTGAACTTGGTATTTCATTAAATGCAGATGAGTAGAGCATGCTGCATTGGAGCTTATTATATATATTCTAATATTAACTCCCATTTTATGTGCGCAGGGTTATTACTAAAACGAGAAATCAAAGTTAGCGCTTCTTATATATCAGAAATTTTATTTTCCAAGTTCTGCGTGGCAATTTAACCTTGAATATTATCATTTTAGCTTTTACTGCAATAAAATATACATATTTTGTGTTGAGCGATGTCTCACAAGTACAATAGTACCCCAATGTACAGGTTTTATGGTGTTTTGGAAAGTTACAGGTTCAAATATAGGGCTTTCTCATTTTCAATTTTATACACATTGAAATTTGCCAGATTAGTTTGCTGGGCTTAAGTTGCCCTTAAGATGGTAGGCAGTGGTGTATCCTGGTTTTGTGCTGCCCTAGGCAGGAAGAGTAAGAGCTCCCTCGCCAGCCGCCAGCCAGCCCGCCCAGCATGTCAGTTAGCCGCAAGGCTAACTAGGCATTTGCCCTGGGCATTTGGGGGCGGCGTTTTTTGCCGCCCCCTGAAAAATGCCGCCCAAGGCAAATGCCTTGTTTGCCTCGCGGCTAATACGTCCCTGATGGTAGGGCAGCCCAGGAATAAAAATCACCCCCATCGTGGCATACCATTTGCCAAACTTAGTGTTTAGATTAGTTTTTTGCATTATCAGACACAAACTGCCCTTTCACCTATGATATCATCATCCTACATTTTATTGCACTAAAACACTCATTTGTGTTAAGCAGTGTCTTGAGAGTACAGCATTGAGATCAATGGAGGATCCCATACGACTGTGGGATCCTCCATAGACACAGCCAATTCCCTGCAGCCGTCACTGATGACAGCTGTGGAGATTGACACTTAGACTCTGCCCTGAGTCTAAGAAAGTGAGGAGGAGAAATAGACAAAGGAGTCCCTTTTGACACGGTTGGAATTTCAGTGACATTGTTTATAAACTGAATGTCAGTGAAACCCCAGCACAGTCAAAATGAGTATATTATGAAGATTCTATCCTTGTGAGATATGCATCTTTTGGGGGGTGAGGGAGAGGGGGTTGGCACTGCTGCTTTAATCTAAAAAAATTTAAGGTAAAAACTCCTCTTAAATCCAGTTCCGGGCCAAGTTCTCCAAGAAACAATCCGTGCTTTCACCAACATCCATGCTCCTCCAGTCTCTGCTTGACGTCCAATCAAAAGTATAGTTGGATCTTGATAAACGCAGCACTGTTAGTGCAATGTGCGAATTCATGAGTTGTTGGATGATCTTTGTGACAGCTCGTCTTTCTGCTAAAGCCAAACCGTGTCACAATGTGCTCAAATTTAACCAGTGAAGGTGGGAGGGGTGGACATCAGAGAAGGTAAACTAAAGGACACTACAATATAATTTAGGAAGGTGGAGAGGGCCAGGAGGCCTGTTGTAATGGAGATGTTAAACTGACCTGAGGCTCAGGGACCTCTGCCTCACTTCTTCCTTCCTCTCAGCGCTGCTGTATAAGGAAGGTTTAGTTAGCTGGTGGTAGGCTGACAGCGTCCGCCTATTAATGGGCACTAATTGAAAGAAATCATATTTACTATTCATATACTTTATTGTACTGCTGTGTTTGGCCTTTTAAGTGCCCTCCATTTTTAAATTAATTTGGCAAAGTTAATGATTGGAAAATGAAAATTCAATTAGGTTTGCTATGGTCTGTGCTCAGTCTGCTCTGGCCAGGATGGCCCTGCAAAAATCTAATTTGTGTAATGACAAAAAAGGAGCCATCGCAGACCAGGATCTCCTTTAATAATGTTTTGTGTAAAAAAACAATCAATATTTTTCTTTATAAAGTATCTGATTTAATCCTATAATTTCTGTGGGAGGCGGTGATGAAAGCATTGCCTATTTCATAAAATATTTGCTTGTGCACACATTCTTGCATTATGGCTTATTTCTTTTTCATTTGGTTGTATGCGTTGTTTGTAACATTGTATTTTTTTTATTTTTATTCCCCCCCCCCTTTATTTTAGGTGGCTGCAGCTACTGGCCACACAGTTGTATTAGTTGACCAGACTGAAGACATCCTTAAAAAATCCAGAAAAAGCATAGAGGACAGCTTGAAGAGGGTTACCAAGAAGATGTTTGCTGAGAGGCCTGAGGTAACAGGATGATATTTTACTTCCATACATGAAAACCTATAGGTGAATTATAGAAAATTAGTTTCACATGAGGTTCTTTGGTGTTTTGTAATTATTTTGCTGGGAAGTTGAAAATGTTTGCATTTAGAAAAATAATAAAATAAAATAAAAATGAAAGGTGTTTTGTTGGCAACATGTAATTATCTCACTTCTGTTGTGTCACAGGTTAGAGCACAGGTGCCCAAAAGGTAGATCCCCAGGTGTTGTAGGACTACAACTCCCATGATGTTTTGAATACATTTAGAATGACCACGCATAATGGAAGCTGTAGTTTTTAAATATCTGTGGATCTTACTTATTGGGCACCTCTATTAGATTATGTACTAAAGTGTGAACTTTTCAAATAGACGCCCACCTAAAGTGGTGTAGATTTCTACATTTAATTTTCACAGTTCACAAATACATATTTTGTTAAATAGAGATGACAAAGCGCAGTTAAAATAAAAAGTGCCTGGGAAATGACCGCTCCCCTTGAAAGAGTCAGGTAAGACTTGAAGGAACAGCCCAAGCACCTTAACCATTACTGCTCACTGTTGTGTTTATGGTGCAAGACGTGCCTGGAGCCCCCCCCATATTGTAAGTAGTCACATTCTTATCATAATGGTTTGACTTTTTATCTGGGATCCGCCTGTTGCAAAGCTCTCCGCCTCCAGTAATAACTATAGAGAGCCGGGAATCTTCTAAGCAGGAAAGTTTGTTAGCTGTCCTGAGCTAAACCTGCACTGCCAGACTTGGCTCAGAATGAGAGCTCCTGGCTTTTCATAGGAAATAGTGGAAATGGGAAGTGGTACCCAGCAGACCCCAGGTAAGATGTTTAAACAATTCTAAAACTGACTCCTTACATGGGTGGTGTCACCCCGGTGCTGACACAATTACTATTACAGCATACTGTAGTGTTTATGGTGGTTGGAGTATACTTTTCATATTGAATGTGATCCACAGTGAACACTGTTACACCAATACTTTGTATCAGAATAAAAATTGTTTAAAGGGACACTACAGACACCAAAACAAATTTAATTTAATGAAGCAGTATTAGTGTATAGCTCATGCCCTTGCTGTCTCACAGCTCAAGTCTCTGCCATTTAGGAGTTAAGTGAAAGCTCTAATTTAAAATGAACCTGAAAGATTAAAGGAACACTCCAAGCTCCCAATGTAAGAAGTCATATTAATGTGCCGTTCCACACCTCCTCTCTTCATTGAGCTCGGTTCAGCAATGCAGGTCTTGGCTTATTGGCTGAGAGTGATCATCTAGCATTGTCTGCCAATGAGCTAGCCTAGCCCTCCAGAGCTAACAGAAGCTCCTGAGCAGGAACTGCTGGCTTACTTTGTGGCAGAGAGGAAGTTTAGAACAGCGGGCCATAGGTAAAAAGTCAAACTGTTACTAAATGGTGGGGTAGTTGGTAGTGACCACTATAGCCTTCTGTAGTGGTTGAGTTGCTTGGAGTGTTTCTTTAGACTTAAGTCCTTTTTTTTTTAAATTTATTTTTTAAACATGTTTTCATCCTTCAATTTGCAGGTTGCGTCTCAGTTCATTGAAAAAACAATGTCAAACCTTTCAACCAGCACAGATGCTGCAGCTGTAGTGCACAGCACTGATCTCGTGGTGGAAGCGATTGTTGAAAATCTGGCTGTGAAACATGAGCTCTTCATGACACTGGATAAATTTGCACCTGAGTATGTTCTTTTTGCTGAATATTGATGGAAATATGGACATTATTGATTGTTTTTAAAAACATTGGTATTCATAGTTTATTCCATGATCAGTTGAACCACATAATTATATTATTCTTATTATGATTCCCCCTATATTTAACAATAAACATTGATTCTCATGAGAAAACAGACGCTAAGGATACTGGTCAGTGTTCCAGTTGTGGGTCTAAGTTTTAATTTGAAATGAATATTAACCCCAGTAAAGGCACATTTATTCATAACCAGTTTGATAGGGTTTTTGGAAAGCAAAATATGCCCTGTCTTCTGACCATACAGCCTGGAGATTCTTAAATATCAGATAAAGCAGTCCAGCAACAGTGAATTCAACAACATTGTTTTATAAGGACAACTCCTGAACAGTTTCTTCGTGACTGGAATCTTTGTCATTGAGCATATAATACATTTGTCCCTCTTCTACATAATGTTTTAATTGCCTTAACTTAAATGAACACTTTAGAAATACAGAATACAAACCTGTGTTCCTGCCCCTATAGTGTTAAAAAAACCATCTAGCACCTTTGCCCCCCCCCCCCTAATATAGTAAAATCTTACTTTTATTCCAGAGTGCTGCTGTTAGCTCTACACTTGATCTGCATGCTTGGCTGACCTAATCAGAAGTAGTGATCTGAGCTAATCACAATGCTTTCACATAGGAAAGCATTGGATTGGTTGAGCTTGTCAAGGTGGCAGAGCCAGCACAAGCCAAACACAGCCCTGGTTAATCAGCATCTCCTCATAGAAATGAATTGAATCAATACATCTCTATGAGAAAAGTTCAGTGTCTGCATGCAGAGGGTGGAGACATTGAATGTTAGTGCTGCACTGCCCCCAGGTACCACCTCTGGTAGCCATCTGAGCAGTGGCCAAAGTAGGTATCTTTTTTCTGAAAAGACAGTGTTTACGGCAAAAAGCCTAAAGGGGACTGACTATGCTCACCAGAAAAAATACAATAAGCTGTTGTTGTTCTGGTGACTAGTGTCCCTTTAAATCATTGAAAGAAAAAAAAAAAAGGAACTCGTATACACAAGCAACATGTCTTTAATGTATTTCCTGATTGCCTTAGGTCCTGAATTGAATGCAGTATGTTTAGTTTTATTCATATCAGAAACATGTACAAAAAAAAAATCCTGTCTCCTGCTATAATATTTGTTTTTATACTTTCAGACATGCCATATTTGCCAGCAACACATCCTCATTGCCAATCACAGACATTGCTAATTCTACGACCAGGCAGGACAGGTTTGGAGGCCTACATTTCTTTAACCCTGTGCCAATGATGAAGCTTGTAGAGGCAAGTTTACAGAATGCACTGTTTGCATAATAATGGTGTTGGAATCATTTTGCCATACGCTAGCAGTTTGTAATTTCTGTAACAGTCAATCAATATAGAATATAAAGAAACAGACTGCGTTATTGGTCACTGCCATTTATACTGATAAAGCATAATATTGATTGTGAACTCAGACATGGTACTGAATTCTTTTCAGGTTATTAAGGCTCCAATGACCAGCCAAACAACGTATGAATCTCTCCTGGATTTCAGTAAAGCTCTTGGGAAGACACCAGTGTCATGTAAGGTAAGGGGGAAAATGTGTGTGCACTGTAAATGGGGAAATAAGCTTTGTTTTCCCTTACAAGTCCTAGAAATAGTAGTAAATGTATTGTCCCTATATTTCAAAAATCTGTGTTTCAGGCAATTTTTTTTTTTTTTTCTTCTAAGCGTAGGTATAGCATATCTTCTGTGATAATGTGACAATGTCTGTATATCAATTAACTATTAATTGAGGCTGTAAGGCTCTGTGCTTTACAGCCTCTGTTTTACATTAGTCTAAACTGAGATATTCACAATTAAGACATATTTGATCAAAACACACCTGGCACCATAATCACTAAATTATACTGCAGTGGTTATGGTGCTTGGAGTACCCTGGCTTCACCCAATCTAAGTAGTGAAACCATTTAGAATGGTCAACCTGTCTTCTGGGTACTAGACATCTCCGTTAGAGCTGCCTTGAACTATTTAAGCCCATAAGACTGTCCTATCAAGCATCCTCTGATGAAGTGAGAGAAGTCTCACGAAATGCGTTAGGACGACATACAGAACGACACTGCATTGCTTTCCGGCATCTACCGAAATACTGCCGACTACTATCTGGAATGCAGAAGGGAAACCTGGTGAAACGCACGCGGCTAGAATACCACCAATCCATTCATTCAAGTGACGATCGGACAGTTTATTCACTTTCTTCAGCTGCTTATTTCATCCTCCTGCTTCAAATCCAGCATATATTTGATACAATGTGAGTGTATCGTTTACCCTTTTTTTTAAACTTATTTTTTTTTTTTTTTGTAAATAAAGTTTTTATTAGCAGTTCAGACAATAACAGATAGCAGAGCTTATATCGTCAGTGAGACTCGCAGGTCTCCAATTGCGTCTGACATGAGTACCACCAGTTTTAGATGAATCTTTATAGAGCGTTATCGGAAGCGGATGACTGCTGGCCCACAACAATTCTATAGCTGAATCTCAATCAAATGGTGAGTAGTGCGGTAGGTCCCAGGTCACGTCCTCTTACATGGGGAGTGAGAAAGGGGTCTTTTTGCGGGATCGAGTCCTACAGTCGTGCACCTCGTCTGGTACTCCCTTTCCTGTTGTCTTTCCCTTAACTTAGGTGGTGCCTAGGTATGTTGCGGGTTCTCTCCTGGGTCAGCTACCCTCTCGTTCTGAGTCCGCATCCCCTCCCCCGCCGTGAGGCGGTGCCCCCACGACGGGAGAGGGGGGAGCGCCCAGCGGCTTGGTCAGCTGTCTCTGTCGCTTTGCTTACTTGTGGTCGGTCACCGTTGTCATGCTTCCGTCGCTGTCCACGTGTGGTATCTGTGGTATGCCTGGAGTGTTTCCCCCCTCGGATGGGGATGGTGTGATGTCTCAGTGTTCAGTTGTATCAGTCATCTAGGGTTGACTTGTGTTTGCTGTTTATTGTAGGAGTTCCCACGTCATGGGACCCCCCCGCGTCTATTGAGCGATGTCTCGTTGGGCCCACATCCCTTAGGGAAATCGTGGTGCCTTCTCGGGCTCAAATATATTGTGGCCCGAGGAAGGGGGGGGAGGTAGGGATGGGTGGGAATGTGTAAGGGTGGGAGGACTGGAAGGTGTGGGGCATAGCTATGGTGTGGCATGAGTCTATCCTGACTCCTGAGTTTAAAACTTATTTTACAATAAATATTTTCATTCAGCACTTGGATTTTATAACTTTATTTCCTATCACTAGGAGTAAAGTGTTACCACAACTGAAGGCTACCTAACATAGCCTGTCAGTTATTTAATGTGTATACTTTTGGTACAAGATACAATATTGCAATTCTAAGGACCATGTATATTGTTATATTGTACTATACTAAATAACTAATTCAGTATTAAGATACCAGTTCATCTATAACTGGAGTGAACTGAATTAGCTTACAAATATAGGATTTTAAAAGACTATCATTTTCATTTTATTCCATTTTATTCAATTTATTATTTTTTAATCAAAAGACTGTCAATTATTGGACTTTACATTTAAGTTTCCTTCTCAGAGAAAGAAAACATTGGATGTTATTGCTTTATTTTATTGAATAGTTTTTTCTCTTTGGCAAACTACATTGCAAAAATATTAGTCCACAGCTACAAACAACTCCTGGATATTTTATTTAATAATTTTTCTTATGCCTGCCTTGAACTAAGCCTGGCAGTGTCTGGCTTAGCTCATTGACGGAGAGTGACTGCTAATCTCACCCAATGAGCTGCTCCTGCACAGCATTTCACTCTCAATGGTTTAATGACCTGAGCCCAGCAAAACACAAGTTGTTTCTCTGACTACTAATTGATGTAAATGTGTCACATTTTAGTGACCATATTACTCTACAAGTAATTTCTCCAAATAATGAATACCCGCATTGTCGTCATCACTACAGATTCATTGAGTAGTAGTTTGACCAAAACAAAAATAAACTGTGCCCTTATTTTTATTAAACCACTCAACTATTGTGACACTAGAGAGATGGAGGGAAAAGATTGTTTGCACCATAACCACTGCAGTGAGCTGTATTGATCATGGTGGCCTAGCTGTTTGTTTCCTAGCTAGTGCCTTTTACCTTCTTTTGATACACCTCTATTCTCTTCTGGTTTATAATATTAGTGCGCTTTAGCAGTGCTTATGGTACTGTTGTGCAGAACTTGCCTTTCTACTATTGTTTACTCTTCTCTGGCTCTCTCAAAATCTGTTCTTCTCTTCATTTCTGATCTAGTTTTCTTTAAAACATAACATAGTAGGGACTAGTACAGGCATAGGCAACCTTCGGAACTCCAGATGTTTTGGACTACACCTTCCTTGATGCTTTGCCAGCATTATGGATGTAAGAGCATTATGGGGGATGTGGAGTGCCAAAGGTTGCCTATCCCTGAACTAGAATGTACTTAAGTTCCTCCTTGTGTCAAAGTCAGGTGTAGGAAAAATACATAGGACAAAGTAGTCCCTACTTTATCTTCTGTTTTAAAGAAAACTAGATCAGAAATGAAGAAAAGAATAAGAGATTCTGAGAGAGGAAGGGAAGATGAAACAATAGGAGAAAGGGAAGATCAGTGTGACAGTGCTGCTTTTAATCATCTGGCATGTCTTGTTTTTTTTGGCGGGGGGGTATTTGTTTTGTTTAATGCTCTTGTATCTGTATGCATTTTTGTGTATGCCATCATGCAAGTGCTCAGTTCTACTGCAAGGACCGAAGTTGTCAGGGACATCTGGAGGTGACTATATAATTAATATTTTTTTTTAAATGTGTGTGTGTGTGTGTATATATAAAATATAATACAAATTGTATTTTATTGTAGTTTGCGCGCACAAATTACAACTGTTCGCAGTATGAGAAAAATAAGATAATATTGGCACAGTCATGGATGAGGCAATACATACACTATGTCAATTAAGATTTTCTTATGAAGACATGTTATGTGAAAGACCTGCTTGATGAGCTAGTTTTTTCTGCTCCTGACTATTAATCTAACCCTCCGGTAGGTGTATGTGGAGTATTTAGTGTAGGTTTCCCTGGGCTATCCAGGAACTATAGCTACATGTGCCTGAGGTATATTGGGTGTGAGCACTTTCGCTGGTCCCGGCCATATGGGCCCCGTTTGGGTCAGTGGGTGGCAGGTGTAGACGCTGGAGAAAGGTCGCCTGGTCTCCAGAGGGCGCTAATGTGAGTATGTAATCTCCCTTCTGAACCACTAGGGAACACTTTATCCCCCACCTATATTTAATTGTGGCTTCTCGCAACTGTCTTAAAACCGGTGCTAGCTGCCTCCTCACTGCCAGCACAGTGAATGGGAGGTCGCCGTAGATGGCAACGGTACATTCCTCGAAATGGATATGGCCAAGCTCTCTAGAGCGGGACATTATGGTGGATCAAGCCGTCACTGCTATGATGTCTCTAGGTGCATCCACGGGGGCAGATGTGACTTTACAGATCCAGAACGCAGAAGTGACCATCTTAGGGTCTGGAACTCTCTTAGCACCCAGGGAGGTCAGTAGTTGCTGGAGGAAGGGTAAAGGGGCATCTCCTGCAATTTTCTCCCATATATTCCTCCTCCTGTGCCTGGGATTCCAGCGCTGTCATAGTCCTGGTCCTGGACTTGTTGAGCGAGGTCCCAGATCTCATCTTGGGTAGTCTGCAGCTGTTGTAACCTTGCTTCGTCCCTGTACTCCACCTCGGTAAGCCTTTGACACAGGGTCCCCAGCTCTGCTTGTGTTGCGCGCAGGTCTCCTTTCCACACCTGTCTTATTTCCAGCAGGAGAGGAGAGGCGGTGCTTCCCCTTCATCTTGGGATGCCTCGCTCAGCTCCGCCAGCGCCATCTTAGGTGATACTCACGGGGTAGGCCTGTCAAATGACAGCCTGATATCGAGCAGTTTTGATGCTTTTGGGATGTGGAATTTTCAAAAAAAATTCGCCCTATAATGTCGGCTGTGTGGGGGTGTTGAGGTATGGGGCTTGTTGGAGCTTTGTAACTTCAGTTGTCTTCTGTTTTCCAAGGTCTTCTACGGAGCTCCACACAAGCACCTCTTTCTAGTTGCCTTGTCAGCCACACCCCGAATTTTTTAAAATATATTTTAATGCATCTAACAAGGATCAAACCATGCTGTTTTTATAATTTGCAATAATTTTACCATTTAAGATGCATCAAACACAATCTGGGTTATTCATTATAGTGAATTTTAAATTCAAAGTGAAAATAGTTATGCTACCAGTTTGGCAACTTTGGCCTGAAATTTGAAATTCACTTTGCATTAAAGGGAAGAACAAAAAACACTGAATTCTATTTAAAGGACCACTATAGGCACCCAGACCACTTCAGCTCAATGAAGTGGTCTGGGTGCCAGGTCCATCTAGGGTTAATCCTGCAGCTGAAAACATGGCAGTTTCAGAGAAACTATAGTGGTCCTTTAATTGCACTTTGAATTACAAAATATAAGTAGTATCCGAACTCCTGACATTACATCCGACGGAGATTTATCAGAATTCAAATCCATTTGCAAGTCGCTGCAACCCAGTGTTTGGTAAATAAACCCTTAGGTGCTCATGTTACAATAATTAATGGTTAATAATTTTATTAGCTGTCTTGAACTGATGATTGTTTTACTTATTTAGGACACACCGGGGTTTATTGTTAACCGCCTACTTGTGCCATATCTGATGGAATCTGTAAGGCTTTATGAACGAGGTATGTATCTAAATTTATTATTTTTTAAAATTAATTTCTTTTAAACTTTTATATTTGATCTATTTGTGGCACTGAATATCTTATTTTTATTTATTTTTTGCTAGTACTGCTACTGTTTTGCATATTGGGAATTTTGGTGCCATGGAAAACAGGATTTTTTAATGTATTTTAATAAATAGGCAGAGTGGAGTATTCTTACTAAACGAAAGTCATCTGGTTACATTGTGAACATAAAATGCAGTTTATACCAAAGTATTAGGCTTAAATAAAACAATTTGCTTTAAAAAAAAAAAAAAAAGTTCCAATCAATATGCACATTTAAATAACTAGAGATTTTTTTTTAGTATCACTTCAATGGCCATTAAGCTGTAAGCTCACCTATCACATCAAGGCAAAACCTCTTGGGTGAGTCCTACGCTAACCATTTGCCTTGCTTACTTTAGCTTCAAGTAAACCTCTCTGAGACAGAGAGTGGTATTTTTTTTTTTTTATAAACCCCATCACACTTATTAACCCTTAATAGGGAACACATGGGGTGGGGGACAGCACTGTGCCATTAAAGTGTAAGCTTACCTGCCTCGTCAATAAGTTATTTTATTCCCTGCTTCTTTAATTTCTAGTGGGGTATAATAAACATTGAGCAAGGCAGTTTGTGTGGACTAAATATTCTTTGTTTTAGTATCATTACATTTAGATCTTCAACTAAATGCGCGATCATTTTTTAATTCTTTTATGTGTTCATTTTGAGTCTTGTAGTGCTTGAAGTGTTCTTTTCACAACAGCATGCTGTGGTGTTCATGGTGCGAGCAATGTCCCCACTGTAAATAGACAATCTATTTTAGAGCAGTTTGACTTCTTACCTGGGGTTTAATGAATGCTGCTGTCCGCCTTCACTACTTCAGTTGTGCTCAAGAGCATCTTTTAGTGTATTTCTCAGGTGTATAATTCACATATTTCTTGTTACAGTTGTCAGAGTACTCTGCTGTGTTTAAATTAAATGGTTGGATGAGTTAGGGGAACCCATTGCAGACTCCATGTAGGTTCTCCCACCAAGACCTCACTTTGCACTTGTTTTCAAGAAGCCAATTTTAAGTTGCCTCACCCACTAGGGTACCACAAGTTCTACACAGGCTAATTCTGAAGTGTGCTGGCAATACCGGTGACATTTTGGATCGACTCACCATATCTGGGGGCCCTGGCCAAGTGTCCTCTCTTTTTTGGCAAGAGGTTCATACTAAGGTGCAGGCCTTCCTGGGAAGTGCCTCTCCACATAGACCAGAAATGTTTTTGCTTCATGCAACTAACCTTCAACTCTTGAAATAAAAATTAAATAATCCCTGGTCTCACATCTTTCCAAATTGACCAAAATATTGGTATGTCCCTTCACTTCAGTTGTAAGTGGACAGGATATATATCCCATTGATGGAAGCTATGACTGCTTCCTTGTATGAGAGAGGGGGTCTCCTTGCAATGAACAAACTGACAAAAAGTAGAGGCTCATGTTTTTTCATTGCTTTTGTTACATTGGCTGAGAGTGTCAGATCATGGCTCTCAGCTACTGCCTGATTTGGCTCAGACAGAAACACCCCGCTTTCTGTCTGAAGTAGTGGTGGCATCCAGCAATCCCCAGTAAGACGTAAACCCACTCTAAAATGGTTTCACTACGTACAAAGGGGGGGTGCCAGTAGTATAGTTATACTACTATAAGCTGTAGTGTATGTACCGGTATTTAAGCATGCTTTTTATTAAAGAGCATAAAATTCCATGTATACCTTGTGCTAGCAAATATATAGTTTGGGAGAAAAATCTATTTAAAAATATTTCCCCCCCAGGTTTCAGTAAATGCCTCGTCACACATTGACCTCCCAGAGGAGGTCCTTCTGCTCTCCCAAGCAGATGCTGTGGTTGCTATGGATACTCCCTAGCTGGCCACTGAGTATATATAGAATAGCAATTCATCCTCAAGCAGGGCAAATCAAAGAAGACCACAGGTGAACTGAAGGTGAAGCAGAGTTTGGCCTGGAGGTGGGTGTTACACAAAGAGTAACACCCACGAATTGGCGGTGGAAAGATGAATAGCTATTTTACATTGAATATATCTTAAATGTTTGTGATATAAGATGTATTCAATGTATATTTGAGCATACAAAGCTGTATTCCTGGCACGATATCTCCCCCATTTGGAACACATTGGGGGAGGCAGAGAGCTAAGCATACACAGGAGGGGGAAGACCACTATCTAGCTAGGGCACTAGAGTGTTACGTATAATGGTGTGTGTAACTAACTCTGTGAGTTCTTTTCCAATCAGATAAACTAGTGTTTTGTAAATTCAGGAATTGTTGAAGCATCTCTCGAAGATGAGGCTGGGTTTTTTCTATCTGCCAGTTACTTGTTTTATTTTATCACTGTACTATTGTCATGCACCGCAAAGTGTGTTTGCACAATCGAAAAATGACTGTGGTAAGAACGTGTTGCTCAAGAGTTTCTATATTTAGCCAGTAAATTAATGTATGAGTGATGTGTGGTATTATAGACACAGAAATAAAAAAAATCACTTATTCATTCTTGCACTCTGTTTCGCTTACTTTTCCTTCTGTATGGCTTTTTATTAAAGACTAAATAAATGAGGAAAACTGTCTAGCATGTTTTGTACAAACAAGATACATGTCTACACCCATTGGCGATTGCATTCAGATTTGTTGACTAGGTCTAAATGCACACAGTTGATTCAGATATTCTCTCAACATGTATATCGCTTAAAGTCCAGCTTTTGATTTTTATAAGATCCAGCTCAGTGAGAAATTACGTTCTAATAGAGACTGCTTCAAGAGTTCCCCTTTGTGGGCAAATTGTTTTCTGATTAATATAATTTTGTTTGCAGGACATGCATCAAAAGAAGACATTGATGTTGCAATGAAGTTAGGAGCAGGTTACCCGATGGGTCCTTTTGAACTCCTGGACTATGTTGGTCTGGATACGAGTAAATACATCATTGATGGTATGTATTCTTTGATATCTCTGCTTATATATATGTATCCATGAAAGCTATGTACAGAGTAGTTTTCGTGTGTGGTTTCCTTCTGTGGCTGTTCCTGTACATTTGTGGTAGATCGAACAGTTGTACTTTAAATGAATATATTTATTCATGATATTGTTCCTGTACATTTAGATTATTAGGTACCCTAAAAGAGAAAAACTTACCGTTAACCCTAGCCATCCTGGTCCTGCTGTGAGAGCCCCTCTGCCTAGGATTTGGTTTCGTAGAAAATAAGTGAGCAGTACCCAGTATTCATTGCACCGTAACCACTACAATGACCTATAGTGGTTATGGTGTGTATAGTGTTCCTTTGAATTTTTTCACTTCATTTTTCAATGTTTAAGTTGCAGGGAACCACATTTGTGTCCCTAAGAAGTTACTGATCCATTTTGTAATCCGTAGTGTGTAAACAAACATTTTTATTTTTTTTAATTTTTTTTATCTTCTATTTTTGTTCCATTTTGTATTGTCAGATATATAACAACTTTGTAACAATTTAGTCCTGTCTGTGCTAAATTTGTCAAAATGATTCCCCTAGGGTGGCATCAGATGGAACCAGAGAATCCCTTATTTGCTCCCAGCGAGTTGCTAAATAAACTGGTTGCTGAGAAAAAGCTTGGAAAGAAGACTGGCGAAGGATTTTATAAGTACAAATAAATAGCAAGTGAAGCCATGCCACTGCTCTCTTTTTAACGTCCTGTACATCATTCTCAGCTTGCTGTTTGATAAGTCCTATTTGTCTGATTTAAAACAATCATTGCATTGCAATAGTTTCTTTTTCTATAACCGAGAATTATGATCAAATTTGATGTTTTGACATATTCGTGCCTTAACAAAAGGATTATCCATTCAATTTCAATAAGCTTTTTGTACAGCTGCCTAAAAATCAAGAACGGTCATAAATGAGCACATTTTCAACAATAACAAATAAAAAAAAATTAAAATTTTTCTTGCTTTAATATTCTATATTTTACTGCTCTATCAATGTCTCTTGGTGCAAAATGTCTTGTTTTACATTGTCCATTTTAAGACCCCAATATTCTCTGAGTGAATTTAGATAAAGACCCACAGGCACCTCTACAGATCTTTTTACTTCTTGTACTTTGATCAAGCAGACTGTAACTAGTACAACTCTAAAGCCATAATATCTTTCTCCAGGATTAAAAGTAATTCCAAAGTTTTACAGGACGCAGTCATATTCTGGATGCCAAAAATACAACATGGTTGTGTTTACAGAAAAAAAAGTAGTACAAATGCAGTGCAAATTCTAAAACTGCACCTAAAGGTGATAAACTGCTCAGCTATAGTTGGAGCATTCAATATCAGAACTTCATTGGCCACCAAATGAATAAACATAAACTCTGGTGAGCTGGGTTTCTGAGATAGAGGGTTTTATATGTGCCTAGCAAAGTGGGCTGGTTTGTGAACACCTTGTCCAGGCCAACATACTATTCAGCTTCATCAAAAGCCCATGGCCTGGATGCAGATTAAGAGAACATGTCTCCACAACACCCCATGGACAAAAATGTGTGTTTTTAAATTTTCTTTATTTTTGCTTTGTAAACTGATATTTTAAAATAATAAAACTTGCCCAAAAGATTCTTCCTTCATCTTCATTTAGAGAAAGGCAAAAAAACTTATAGATGTATTGCAAAAAAACTAATTGGCCCTTCCTGACCCCATGTTCACGTGATTGGCTATATTTCTATCCCTGACTTTATTTAACATGAAGATTAGATGGGCCGAATGTCCAAAAGGTTGTCTTAGAAACATAGAATATGACGACCGATAAGAACCAAAGTCAAAAACCCCATGAGTCTAGGGTCCCAGTACATTATCCTTTTTCATGTTGATCACACAGTCCCTTGTTCACCGTCCTGTAGTGTTTCCTGCTTCTGTCTAGTTGCCAGTGGCTGGTGGTGTGTGTATATTTAAGCAATTTTTTCCCCTTTATTTCTTAATTGCAAAATTCACTCTAGGTTTTTTTCATGTTTCATCAAAAATACATTTTGATATAAGAAGTTTGTAACATAAAAACTATTTTTATAATTGTGTGTTTGGATCTTTAAGTATTCAGACACAAAAAAGTTAAATCATAATAAGAAAGAGGGGGTAACAGAAATGCCTTTTAGGTTTTCCCATTAATCAAGATGTCAAACAGTTTAATGTTCTCTAATGCTATGAGAATATCCTGAAGAGATCTCCTGGCATTCATTGAACATATGTATTATTATAATGGTCCATTGCTTGGACACTGGCCTGCAGCGGCAGCTCCATTAGCCTTTATGATAATCTGGCCCCCCATGGCCACCTTACATGTAGAAACCTGACCACTGCATAGGTTGTCTATAGGTGGGAAATAGACTAAAAGACACACAGAGGGGCTGATGGAGATTAAGGAAAAGAGGCAGAAGTTATAGTGGAAATGACAAGAAAACATGAGAGATACGTGATAGACTGGTGAATAGGAAACACCAGAGAAATTGGGAACATACTATTATGGAAAAATAAAATAAACTATATAGAAGGGACAGATAGTTAAAGAGGCAATAAAACTATGATTTGTTTTTGCTGCAAGTTCATTCCGTTCTCTCAGCCTATAAACCAACATATTCATAGCTAAGGATGCAACTGACTACATCTCAGCTCATAGGCCATTTTTTATTCTTCTGCGTATATTCTGCTGTCCTTTTTCCCCCAAATTGTACAGTGCTGTGGAATTTGTTGGCACTTTATACATACCAGTTATAATGTGTGCGTGGCCCATTTACATTACTTGTCTTACCAGTGGTTTTGTTACTAGTTAAGGAACACTGTAATATTAAAAATCTATTTTAATTTTAATGATCATGTTCCTTACCTTACATGCAGCATACAAGTCTCCTCCACCTTTTAAAACTAAAAAAAAAAAAAAAAAATTGAAAAGCTGCACAATCTCCAGGAGGTGAATCGAAAAAACATAAGGTATTGCGTAAAAATAAATTTTTTAAAAGCTGATGATTATCAATAGTGTCCAAAGGTCTCCAACCAATGTAGAATATATCAAAAAAGAAATGCACTTTATAATGCAAATCAAACAGGGTAATTTGTATAAATGCAATGTAACTGAGTGATAAATACTGTGATATAAAACAGCATAAAAACCTTTATCTATAATATAAAAGATAGCATAACTGTATGTACAAATAAAAATATATATATAAATAATAACCCAATGTAACAGAGACCGTGCATCTGTATGTAGCTCCACATAAATCAATCAGAAAAGGTAGAAAGTGAGTATTAGATCCAAAGTCAGAAGGTGGGACTTAAAATATGGGAATAAAAACCATGGTATAGGTAGATCTGGTGCCTGATACTAGCCACTTACAAAATAAAGAGCCCAGACTCGAATCTCATATATGCACGCACAGCAAGTAATTTCCCCAATTGAAATGTTGAAAAGCCAGCCATCTGACTTGGAACTCCTTTCTCCATCCTGATGCCTCCGCGTCGTGATTTCCAAGGATGCCACAACCACACAGTCTGTATTCAGTAAAGGAGGGTGCAAAAAAAAATATCAAATATAAACACAATAAAAGCAAAAGTACGGCTAATTAAAGTATAATTAAGTGAATAAAACATACAATAGCGGAGTGCTAAAAAAAAAAAAAAAAAAAACCCATACAAATAGGAGTGATACTTACCCTTGTAGTGTAGGTAGTAATATATACTGATATGACATATCAACAAAGAAAAAATATAGAGTGCAGATGGTATGTGCAGGAATAATTATTACAAAGTGATATTAAGAATCACTCACATTGACAAGAGCATGAATATGTTGGCTCAGTAGATTGCACTTTTGTGGTCTTAAGGCAGCGTCACTCCTGTGATAAATTCAGGTCTAGGAAATAAAAAAAAAAGATACACCAATAGTGTAGTATGTAGAGATATATTACAGTTGATCTATTGTCCAGTTCACCTTAGATGGAGCCTTTAAATCCCGGGCTCTGAGGTTGAGAGGCTTAGTGTTAATTTGTGGGGTGACACGTCTATTAGGTAACTCCTGAAACTGGACATCAATGTGGATCCCAAGAATGCTAGATGAACAATTTATTTAGCATTATATGTTAAAACAAATATTTTAAATATATATATATATATATATATATATTTATTTATTGCACTTAACAAGCTGCCCCAAATGGTAGTAGATGCATTTCGCAATGTGTGACTTCCTCAGTCGGAACAATGGCCTCCAGTTCAGTAATATTCTTGGGTTTGCATGCTGCAACCGCCTTCTTCAAATCCCACCACAGATTTTCTATCGGGTTCAAGCCAGGTGACTGTGCTGGCCACTATAGAATTTTCCAAGATTTCTTCTTTAACCAAGTCGTGGTGGAATTTGAAGTATGCTTAGCATCATTGTCTTTTTGGAAGTTCCAATAATGCCCAAGCTTCTGCTTCCTCACAGAAGGCACGACATTTTCTCAATAAATCCATCTTTCCTTCCACATGCTGCAGGTTTCCAGTGCCTGAGGATGCAAAGCAGCCCCAGAGCATCACTGAGCCACCACCATGCTTAATTGTAGGTAGAGCACGCTTTTCAGCATATACTTCATTCTTCTTCCTCCAGACATACTGCTGATTCATTGGGCCAAAAAGTTCCAGTTTTATTTCATCACTCCACAAAACCAAATCACAAAACTTCTGTGGCTCATTTATATGATTTTGGAGCTGACGTTTCTTGTGCTTTTGGGTCAGTAGTGGTGTATGGCTTGGTGTTCTGGCATGGAAACCTTCTGCATTTAAAAGGTGCCTTGCTGTGCTCACTGAAACCATTGAAGCCTTTTGCCACCACGTCTTGCTGCAGGTCTTTTTCAGTCACTTGAGGGTTTTTCACAACCTGCTTTATCAGAAGTCTGGTTGCAGCCAATGGTAGCTTTCTTTTTCTGCCAGTCCAGGTAGTGTAACCACTGTTCCTTCAACTTTGAACTTGGAACATATAGTGCCTTTGCTATCTTTTTGTATCCTGTTACTTGGTTGTGAATGATGATATTCTCTTCTCTTTCTGGACCATTCTTTTGACTTACCCATATTTCTAACATGCAGTCAAACATGACACTCAACAAACCCCTCGCCAGTTCAGAAATTTCAAGTGTCCCAGCTAAGCACACCTGGGGCAACTAATGAACACAAAACCTGTTTCGCATATTATGCTGTTGTGGGGGTTCTATTCAGGGGGTTGAAAAATTTGGTGACTGGAGAAGCCATAAGTTTCATTTTCAATTGAATTTGGGGAAACCACTTGTTTGTTGTGTTGAGCTATTTCAATAAACCTGATTTTCAATGGAGGTTCAATAATTTTGATTAAACTGTACTCATAGCACATAAGTGTTTTAGAGCTGCTTTCCATTATCGTAGATTTTAAGCACTGATCTATTATCACACTTCCTTCCTTGAGAGGGCTATTTGCTTGAAAAAAAAAAAAGTACATTGTTAATGAGGGTATTTTGTATTTGCTCTAGCTGTGAGTTCACCCAAAGACGCAAAGTCCTTGAGGAAAATTATCATAGACCACTCTTCCTCTTTATTTTATGTATGTTTAATGATGTGTTTTAGACTTGGTGCTTTCTCCAATCGGGCAGCTTTTCCCTCTTTAATGAGATCATCCTCCAGATCTTGGGTCCACTCTAGTGCTTCTCACAGAGAAGTATTAGGCAAGGTCTGCAAGGACATGGTATTTGAGAAAAAAACAACAACAAAACTGCATTAAGATGTAGTGGTTTTGGTCATTAGGGTATCCAGTTAACAGTAGCTGTATGTCAAGGAGTGAATTCTCCTGTCTTTGTCCTAATATAATATGCTCATATAATGCATTACATATCTATCATACATATATAAACATCCAATCCATCCAAACAAACCTGCATCAAACATGTTGTTGTATATAGACTAATATATACATCCAAAAGTAACATTAAATACGTTGATACGCATCTTACGATAAACACCTACACACCTCATAACAATTAAGCATCATACACGTTACATTAAATAATCACTATAGGGTCAGGAACACAAACATGTATTCCTGACCCTATAGTGTTAACACCACCATCTAGCCCCCATGGGCCCCTCATGCCTCAATAAATATAGCAACATCTTACTGTATTCAAGCCAGAAGCAGTAATTCTGCATGCTGTTTGCCTAAAAAAAATACCAAGCAGTCTGCTGACATCATCAGAAGTGGTAGCCTGATCCAATCACAATGCTTCCCCATAGGATTGGCTGAGACTGACAAGGAGGCAGATCAGGAGCAGAGCCAGCATGATTCAAACACAGCCCTGGCCAATCAGCATCTCCTCATAGAGATTAACTGAATCAATGAGTCTCTATGAGGAAAGTTCAGTGTCTGCATGCAGAGGGAGGAGACACTGAATGTTTGCGTGCATTTTAGGCAGCCATGACCCAGGAAGGATCTCTAACAGCCATCTTAGGAGTGGCCAGTGAAGTTATCACTAGACTGTAATGTAAACGCTGCATTTTCTCTGAAAAGACAGTGTTTACAGCAAAAAGCCTGAAGGTAATGATTCTACTCACCAGAACAAATTCAATAAGCTGTAGTTGTTCTGGTGACTATAGTGTCCCTTTAATGTTACATGCAAACTTTAATGGATGGCAGACAGAGGTATGGAGGGGATCTTCACTCCTTAGGATTTTAAGACCAACAATATATCCAAATGACCACGTCAGTTACACAGGTGACACAGCAGAGTAGACTTAATATAGCTAGCGTACAGTCTATGTGTTTCGTTCCAATAACTTTAGCAAGACTTGAGCTGTCTATTTATATCCAGAAAAACTAAACAGTCGTCTTACAGCAATGTGCTCCCCGCTGTCACAGACACAATACCCGATGTTCTCTGAGCAGCAGTATGATCAGGAAGGAAGGCGCAACATGCGTAGTTAAACACTTTGTTTTACTTTTGTTTGGGCTGTGACAAACTGAGGCAGGGTGTTGGTTGGTGGCGATCAGTGTTATAATTAAATTGGAAGAATAATTATTTACAGAATATTACAACAATGGCGTGTGGATCAGTGCCAAGTAGAACATCCTTCTGGATCCAAGCCTTTGTAAATGGTGATTACATTTACAGAATGTGGGGATGGAGACCAAGTAATCATAAATATAGTGCTTGGTTTAAAGGACCACTATAGTGCCAGGAAAGCATACTCGTTTTCCTGGCACTATAGTGCCCTGAGGGTGCCCCCACCCTCAGGGTCCACCTCCCGCCCGGCTCTGGAAGGGGGAAAGGGGTAATAACTTACCTTTTTCCAGCGCTGGGCGGAGAGCTCTCCTCCTCCTCTCCGCCTCCGTTCCGCCCCGCCGGCTGAATGCGCACGCGCGGCAAGAGCTGCGCGCGCATTCAGCCCGTCGCATAGGAAAGCATTTACAATGCTTTCCTATGGACGCTGGCGTGCTCTCACTGTGATTTTCACAGTGAGAAGCACGCAAGCGCCTCTAGTGGCTGTCAATGAGACAGCCACTAGAGGATTAGGGGGAAGGCTTAACCCATTCATAATTATAGCAGTTTCTCTGAAACTGCTATAATTATGAAAAAATGGGTTAACCCTAGAAGGACCTGGCACCCAGACCACTTCATTAAGCTTAAGTGGTCTGGGTGCCTAGAGTGGTCATTTAAAGTCACCAACCCATTGCTTCAGGTGTCTAACTATGAGAACATGAATAAAAGTTTATCAAAGCTTTTTAGCACACTAAAAACATTACTATGCAAACAAACATTGTCAAAGAACAATTCAGTATTTCCATATGTTAAAGCAAATTATTAAAAATTTACAAGTAACAAACATACACAATACCATACAATGTAATTTTACATGTCTGTAAAACATAGTGTGCAGCTATAATGTAGACTGTAGAGCAGTGTCCAGGCACTACAATGTAGGTATTATGGCGCCATCTTTGGGCAGATATGCAGAATACATTTTTACCACGGCCTAATAAACATTTTGTATAAAACCATTATACAGGTTTCTTAGGCACAATTAAAAGGCTGCTTACTTAACAAAATGATGGGCATTTTACATTTTAAAATTTCAGTTGTAACTAACACTTGGAAAAATATATATTTATCGACTGTGTTCAGCCTGTTCTAGCCCTAAAGTCAATGCATTTGGGCACACTTTGAAGTGGGCACACAGATTGAAAATAACTTTTAGAAGATGCTAAGCAGATCCTAACCTAGGCTGGAACTATACATGACTCAGGCTGTCACAGACCTGGCTCATTGTTTTGCTGAGTCAGTGAGAACTTTAAGTCATGAGTAATGGGGTGAGACTCTGATTACCTGGCTCAGTAGAGATCACAGTACAGAATCATGACAATGTGAGGTAATAAAATATCTATGACTAGCCAGACTTGGCTTTGGCAGTTGTGGTTAGTCTGTCAGTATTTTTATGAAAAGGTGGGTAGATTCCATATATGACAATGTACACTAGTTCAATAAGAATTTAACTGCTGAGAGTAACTTACTCTTTTCACATTCTGAGGAATATTAAAAAAAATTAATATAGGAAACCCTGCTGATCTACCCCTCCTTCTAGATGATACTATACATAACATAGTATTTAATAAAGATTCCTTACGAATACTAGAAATGTGTGTCACAAGCAGAGCTAACTAGGGTTGAACTGAATTTCTTTCCAACTGTTGTAAAAACTTAGAAATATTGGGGGTTTTTTTGCTAGGATTACTGGGGTTCAATTTTCAAACTTGCCAAGTAAGGTGTCGATCAATGTGTTCTGTCTATAACAGGCAATGCCCAAAAGGTAGACCCCCAGATGTTTTAAAGCTACAGCTTCAGTGGGAGTTGCAGTTCTACAACATCTGGGGATACACCTTTTGGGCACACCTGGTCTACAATTCTGTTTTGGTGCAGAGGATTATGGGAACAGTTGAAAGTGTCCCATGTACAAACACTCTTAAATTCCATAATTCAGCCTACCTTCTTTGAATCTGTATTTAAACTCCTTATCACAAGCCTTAAAGCTTCTGCTTAACCCCTTAAGGACACATGACATGTGTGACATGTCATGATTCCCTTGTATTCCAGAAGTTTGGTCCTTAGGGGTTTAAAATGGAAAGTAAACAAGAGTATGTAGTCCACAAAACAAAAATATATACAAAGTGTAGCTGCATAGCATGTGAAGAAAACAGTTAACCCAATCAATCCCTGTCATGCCAAAAGCATGAGTTGGTGTTTGATGTGTGTTTATATATGTTAAGAGTTGTTTTTTTGTAAACCTTGGGATGACATTTATTGTGGTCTTTGATCTTGCACCAGGCCTAGACCATAAACCATCTAGATAGCCATCACCAGAGCTGGACACAAGGAATTTCATAGAGTGGGCAATAGACTGCCAGACCAACCCCCTCTGATCCCCCCCCAGGGGTCTGCCCACTGAGAAACAACTAGTTTAGATATATGAGGGTGTTGGACTATCCAGGGAGGTCAGTTATTCATTTTTTTTTGTCAGTAACTTCTAGGAGACCTATACCATCTAAGACTCCCACAAGAATTCTATATGGGGTAAATATATGTAAGGAATTTCTTGTGTTTTCTCCTATTTTATTTTATGTACTGTTTTGCAATTTGTTATCTGTATGTCATTTATTTCTGTATTTTGTACTCAGCACTGTGAATCCTTTTTGTCAGATTAAATGTTTACTTAATCAGCTTGTGTCTCTGTTCTCTATGAGCTTCACTCTCCAGAGGAAAGCTCAGGTAAACACGTTACCAAAAAGGGTTAACTATATATGTTTTTTTTTTTAAATTCTTTATTTTGTCACAGTCAACAAGATATATATATATATTGCATGTAATACATTCAATGAAGCATATCACTGTTTTTACTCTTCTGCATACATTGGTGGGATAGCGATGTTGGCTGTGGTATTTTGTTTTATGGTAATGTAGCTTGTTACTGCCATGGTCATGTCTTTAGCGATGGTTGTGGTTAGTGTAGGAGTCTGGGACATGTATGGCTCTGTGGTTTCAAAAAGTGAGAGAAAATGCGATATATTTCTATGGCGGGTTGGGTGTTGAGTGGGCACAGCTCCGTTTTGGTAGAGTAAGTGTAAGTGGTTCCTAGCGCGGAGCTGGGGGGGTAAGGTGTTCGTTAAGGAGCTAGTGTTTCTGAGTTTCGACTTGTTTAGGTCTGGGAGGTGGCGGAGATGGGTGTGACCCGCTGTTAGTGCATGGTGTGGTATGTTGCGCGGTGTCTAAGCGGTGTATGTAACAAACAACAACAAACAAAAAAGAAAAAACAAACAAAGAGGGTACAATACCCATGGCATAACTTATGCTGCATCTACGGTTTCTCAACGTGAGGCTGGCCCTATGAGGTGCCTGTGCCTCATAATACGAGGGAAAAAATAAAACAAAGAACGATAAAAACGATAAAAACAAAGAATCCCAAGAGGTTAAGTAACCATAGATAAAGGCAGCTATATAAATGAAAAAATGTAATGTCCAGAGTCACGTGGTTGCACGGTTGGGTAAGTTCCGATTTGCCGGGATGAACGGGACAGAGTTGGCCGGGTCCCATGTTGTCGGTGCCGGCGTTGCTGCGTGGTTCAGGCCCAGATTGGTCAGGGTTGCCTCTATCTGCGATGCCTCCGCTACCTTGATCTCCGTGTTTTGGTGCTGGATAATGAGCGTGTGTGTTGGGCCCCATCGGTACTTGATTCCGTTCGTTGATAGTATGGATGTGAGGGGTCGTAGCGTCTTCCGCCACTGAAGCGTCGGTCGAGAGAGATCTGAGTAGAAGGTAACGTCCATATCCTCAAAGCGGAATGGGGGTTTCCCCCTCACTGCTTTCAAGATGGCTGCCTTATCTTGGCCATTTTGGAATTTGACCAGTAGGTCGCTGGTGTTGGAGGCCGCAGCTGCAGGAGGCTTTGGGAGCCAAAACATCCCCTCTAGTGTGATGCCTTTTGCCTGTTTGGGTGTCAACAGTGCTGTGAAGAGTCTGCGCAGGCAGTGGGGCAGTTCTGCTTGTGTGATAGTGTCCGTGAGGCCCCTGATCTTAAGGTGTTTCCACCTTCTCTTGTCCTCCATTGCTGCTAGTTGGTGGCTCAGAGTAGTGTGAGCTGCCGTGAGAGTGGCAATCTGATTCTGCAGACCTTGGATGTGGGCTGCATGTGTTGTGGCTGTCTGCTCAATTATATTTAGGCGCCCATTGAACCCCTTGAGGTCTTCTCTCACTTGGGAGATTTCTGAGGAGAGGCTGTGACGGAGATCCGCCAGGAGGCCGGTAAGTATCCCTGTGGTGAGAGGTTCTGACCCTTTGGCTGCTGGCTGGGCAGATGTTGTAGGGTTAATTCCCCTCTCTTCTGTGTCGTGGAGGGAGTAGTCAGCCGAGTCGTCTGAGAAGTCTCCCATGTCCGCCGCCATGTCAGTCCTCCCCGCGCCATGCGGTCCCCTCAGGAGGTCGCCGATATCGGCACAGAATCTCGGTCGATCCGGACGGGGCTTTTTGTTTTTTCTCCCCATCGTAAGGAGAGTTGTCCGGGGCTTGTTGGGGGGTGTTGTACCCCTATGTTCGGCAGGATTAGGGCGTTTTTCGTGCCCGTTTATCGGAGCTCATGCAGAGAGCGACCGTTGCCGTCGGATGCTAGCTCCGCCCCCCAACTATATATGTTTTATCAGTAAAAGTAGAACTGTGATACTATAATTCTCCTGTGTGTGGGGT